TTCCTGCTAGGCCTCAGAAGCAGAGGAGCAGATGTGATGAGGGGAGGATGCTGCTGGTGTGTGTGGTTCCAGCCCCTTAGCTGAGCCTCTACAGGTGGTTTTATCTTCATTAGTATTAAACAATTGCGTATCTTCTAAAAGTGGAGAATCCAAGTTGCTGTCCCAGAAGAGTTAGGAGTGATGTTTGGGGTTTACTCACAGCTTGTTACTTCTCAGTGTGACAAATGTACTTTACCTGTGTTCTCTCCCTCCTCTCCAGGAGCCCAGCAGCACCCAAGGCAGCAGTGCTGCACTGCAGGACGAGCAGGAGGAAATGCCCACCTTGTCTCCACAGCTGACCAGTGTCAACAGAGATTCCAGTGCTAAGGACTTGTTTTTGGAGTCATGCATGAGCTACTTCAGTGCCTCAGCTTCGGGGGAAACTGCTGCTGGCAAGCAGGGGAGAACACCAGGACCAGATTGCTTGGGGGATGGAGTTCCAGGTACACCTCATGCAGCCACAGAAGGGGAAGGCTCTGGAACAGCTCTTTACAGATCCCAAGGTGGAGGTGGTGGAATTCAGTCAGACAGTGGCAGATTAACATGTGTAAAAGGCGTAAACCTCAAAGAGGCTGCTGAAACTCCTACCTCTGTCCAGTCAGGAATGAACTCCCCAGTGTTGGACAGGCAGAGTGCAATGTGTGACCCAGGGGAGGTGGCTGGGCTCCTGGGTGAAGAGACACCAGAGAAGCCACAGAACACTAAGGAGACTCCAAAAAGGAAGCTGCTAGAGGCTCCAGCTGGCACCGTGAATGACTCGTGCGCACTTGACAAGAGGAGAAGAACCTCCTCGGAGGACGTGGAGGACCCAGGGGAGCAGAGCAGCAACTTCAACTTGCAGACACAAAAAGCCTTTGAGCAGGAGTTCTACCAGAGGCGCAGGCAGGAGGAGCAGGACAGGCAGCTGGCTCTGCAGCTGCAGCAGGAGCTGGACAAGGAGGACAGGCGACTGAACCGGCAGAAGGGCTCTCCAGACGAGTACCTCCTGCGTGCCAAGCTGCCTCGCTCAGCAAAAGCCTCTCTGGCCAGGAAGGCAGGGGCCAAGGTGGCCAAAGACACAAAGGGATCAAAAAACCAGGCTGAAAGCAGCCACCACAAGCCTCGGAAGGGCTCCTGCAATGAAAACTGGCAGTCCCCTGCCAGGGCCAGGGTGAAATCCCCCAGCACCAAGGCGGGAAAGGTTTTGAATTGTGTGGTCAATACCAGTGACACGAGTGAGATCTGTTCACTGCCTAAGGACAGGCAGAAGACGATCCTGCAGATGTTTAAAAGCCCTGTGGGGGAATAGAGCAGCAGAGCCACATGTGGTGGGGTGGGAATGGGAGTGCAATGATGTTCTCCTGCGCTAGGCAGAGCTTCCTATTGGTTTGGAGGGGGATCACTTTGGGACGCAGTGTTGGGAGTTCAGAGAGGTTTTGGTAACCTACACCCCCAGAATTTAACATCTTTAAATAGTTTAGCGCTTCCTGCAGGACTTCTCTCCCCCTAGCTCTTGCGTTGGCATGATTTGGAACAGGAACTCTGGTGGTGTTTAAAGTCAGGAGTAACTGATGAACTGGTCCAAAAGAGAGAATTCGGAGCCTTTTGTGGGAAGGATGTTCATGCTCCGTGGAGGAAACACCATGAGTCTGTATTCCCAGCTGCAGGGCTGGAGCTCCCCTGGACACAACCACTGTTCTCGTAACGTTGGAAGCCTGGTGCTGGAATTTAGACTTTTCCTGGAATTGCAGTGTTCACACACCTGTTAGCACAAGTGTAACCAGACAGCCTCTCTTCTCCTTTCGTGTGCTAACCCCTTTTCCTGGACAAGAAGGGAAGAAACAGGCCACTCTCCGTCTGCCAAAGCCAAGGATCCAGCTCTGCTCAGAGAGGTGCCTCCCGCAGATCCCATTTGCCCTGTTGTTGAGAAAAAGATACTTTTTGTTTTCTGGCTGCTAACGTTCTGCCACTTTATTCTTGCTCAACAGAGTTACCTGTTTTTAGTGCTGTTTAATTTTCATACTCAAACTGGTTTGAGTATGATTAACAATATTTAAAAAACCACCAGTCCAGAAGGAAGTTCCAATGAAGAAAGTTAAAGCAGAAGGGGGGAAAGCAGCTGAAAACTGGAGTTATCAGTAATGACCCAAGAGTTATAATTAGAGTTTTTTATAATTAAAGGTGCTGTGGCCCGTAGGAAGCTGAGGCTGGTTAAAAGCTGACCGAGTGCTACCAGGCAGAGGAAGTTTTCACGCTGGTTGTTTTATCTGTTGTTTCACAAAGCCACATTTTAGATTTCTGTGCTGCTTTGGAGCTGCTTTTCTGCTGCCATGGAGCCAAGCACCAAGCTGCAGTGCTGAAGGCTGCGTGCTAGTCACCAGAGTCCAAGCCTTCACTTTCCTTCTGCTGCCCCAGCCATTGTGCTGGAAGTCTTCCTGCACTATGGATCTGTTTCTCTCTAATATTTCCCTTAGTTTTGGTTATCTTCTGTCTCACCCGTGAGGCCAAACTGTTGGAAGTGTGCTTTAAGGCAGAGCTGCTGACTGGTTCCATGCTGTGTCCCTCAGCCTCTCAAGTCATGGTGAGCCTGTAGAAAATAAACTCCATTGTCAAAACAGAGGGAGGAGAAAGCTTTTATTTGCTGCCAACCCCCAAAGTTTGTGCCTCAGTGTAATCTGTGGCACTTGGGGGTTCCCCACGATGTAATTCCAGGTGTTAAAGGGGCAGGGGAAGTACGGAGAGGGGAGAGGGAACTTCCCTGTGTGCCAGCACAATACCAGTGGCATGAGGCCTCATCCCAGGACATGGCTTGCTGCATTTAACACCAGCCTCATTCTCTTTTCCTCCACAAGCTATTCCAGGGATTCTTTCTTTTCCCTTTCAGTGTGTGATTGTGTCTCCAGTGTGAATTTGTGACATGCACTGAACTAGTCCCAGTTAGAAGTTAGTTGAGGGCTGCGCTTGCACAGACTGACTTCCTCACCAGCAGTACCAGATCCTGCTGCTGTGATTCCATTGGAAATTGGCACAGAAATCAGCCATGCCAAGGTCTGGATAGCTCACAAGTGTTTTGGTCTGTGTGTGTGTGTGTGTGTGTGTGTGTGTGTGCTGCAGGGGATGTTGAAGCATTTGGGAGTGATTTGTGTTTCCAGCTCACTGGGGTTTGTCCTCAGTGTCACAACAGCCTCTTGCATAAGGATTGTTAGGTTTTTTTAAGCAGAATGGAAAACAAGCAGCACTCAAGAGTCAATTATTGGGTAACCTTGACTGCAGAATGCACAAACCCTATCCCCTCCAGCAGCAGCCCCATCTGAGCTGGGGGGCTGCAAGCCCCAGGTCCCCAGAATGATCCCACTCCCCACAGAGTGCATGGCATGGTAATCCTCACCAGTTTGGCCTGTTCTGTTAGACCTTTATTGTCAGAGGGTGGAATTTGGCTGTACCAACAGCTCCTTTCTATCCCTGTGGCCTGGGAGCTTTGGGGCCGGTGACCTTGATGCTGCTCTGATGGTCTTTGTGTTTGGGGGTCTGGGCTAGGCTCACTGTTCACTGCTGCCCTCAGCTACAGCTGCTGACTCATTCCTGCCCTGAGTGGACAATTTGGCTCATCCAACTGCCAGGAAAAACAGCAAGTGCCAAAACCCAAACAGGGACTTGTTTGTTGGCACTGCCTAGGAACCAGAGCTGGGGTGGGCATGGGGAGCAAGGGTGAGGGATGGGACACATCTGGCTGTTCTCATGGCAGTCAGGTGATAATTTACTGGAATTCTAAGGAATATTCAGCTTTCTGTGGCACTGTTTGTGTCCCTCACATCCTGCCCCTGTTGGAAGCAGCAGGTCGAGAATGCCAGGGAGGCGCTCTGGGAAGACAGCCTGAGAGAGTTGGGGCTGTTCAGCCAGGAGAAGGTTGTGTGGAGACCTCAGAGCAACCTGCAGGAGCTGAAAGGGCTCCAGGGAAGCTGCAGAGGGACTCTGTGTTAGGAGCTGCAGGGACAGGACAAGGAGTAATGGGGATAAATTGAAAGGGGGAAATTTAGATATCAGGAAGAAGTTTTTGCTGTGCGGGTGGTGAGACCATGGCACAGGCTGCCCAGGGAGGCTGTGGCTGCCCCAACCCTGGATGCTCTAGGAATGCAGAGGGATGTCCTGGGAATGCAAGGGATGTCCTGGGGATGCCGAGGGATGCCAGGGATGTCCCGGGGATGCCAGGGATGCGAGGGATGTCCTGGGGATGCCAGGGATGCGAGGGGTGCCCTGGGGATGCCGAGGGATGCTCTGGGGATGCGATGGATGCTCTGGGGATGC